TGGGTCAGCTGTCCTGGCTGTGCCCCCTCCCAGCTTCTTGTGCACCTGGCTGGGAAGCTGAAAAGTCCTTGACTGGTGTAAGCACTACTTAGCAACAACTAAAACATCAGTGTTTTATCAACATTATTCTCATCCTAAATCCAAAACACAGCACTATGCCAGCTACTAGGAAGAAAATTAACTCTATCCCAGCTGAAACCAGGACACTCATACAGCTTTCCTGTGGCAGAAATCAAAGCAGCCCCCCCGGAGCTCTGCTCAGAGCCTGACCTAGTTACCATAATCAATGGCTAAAGGAACTCCTGGGAAAGGGCAGGCGATGGGGAGGGGGTGCAGAGCAGGGCAGGGAGCACCGTGGTGGAGGGGAGGGACAGAGCACTGGCACCCAGGGGTCAGGGCACCTCAAGAGCACCCTGCTGCAAGGAGGGGATGGGTAGGTGGTACCTGCAGGGAGAAGAGACAGGGAGCACCATGGAGCAGCTCGGAGCTGGACAGTCAGCACCCATGGGTGTGGTGGGAGACAGGCCAGTAGCACCCATGGACTAGGTTAGGGACAGGCAGTTAGCACCCATGTGTTATATGAGGGACCTGCAGCTGGCACCCATGGGTTAGATGAGGGACTGTGTTAGATGTGTCTGTCTGGTGATAGGACACACCGCGGGGTGTCTGTCAGAGCATCCCTGCATCCCTGTGTGTCCCCATGTCTCCCCATCCCCACATCCCCATGTCCCCACAGCCTGACACATCCCCACAGCCCAGCTCCCTTCATCTGCCAGGTGAAGGAGGTGCTGCGTGGAGCACCCTTTCTATTGGTTTTTAACGGCCTTTCCCAGCACAATTGTTTTTAAACGACTCTATTTTGTGCCTGACTTTGTTTTCCAGCTTGCATGTCTTCGTATATGTTTTGGAAATCCATTCTGGACTACTGAGTTTTGTTTCTTTTCAATGGCTTTAAATTCTTGCTGGGCTGGCTGGGATGAATCGGTGTTTATAGTGCATTCGATTGGTGCTAATTTTTCCTTCATATGCTCTGACTTTTACTGCTGGGCCATCGATCTGGCGGGCTCCAATTTGTCATGATCACCCAGGTGCTGTGCTGGAATCAGGCGAGCCCTGGCTTTCACATGGAGCTGGCGCTTTGTGTCCCTAGTGTAGGGGCTGTGCTCACCTCCCCGGTGCCATCCCTCAGCTCAGCTTTGGGGGTTGTGTCCGTGTGTCCAGAGCTGCATCCATCCAACACACATAAGTATCCACACAGCCATACGTGTGCATCTGTGCAACCATGTGCATGCTCACTGGCTTGCACACACGTTGGTGCACCCACAGACTTGCTGGGACATACGTGTACCATGTCTGCACACACGGCGCTGCACACGTGGTTTCGTGCTCATGCACTTGCACACAGTGCATGCACATCTGGCTTTGCATGCACGCACCCGTATCCCACTGCGGGAAGTCCTTGTGCCTTGCAGGGATGTGTCACTGCTGCGCTCACACCCTGGTCCCTGTGCACAGCCAAGGAAGGTGGATTTGGGGTCCCCATGCCCGGCCGAGGGAGGAGGATCTGGCAGCGTGTCCCTTTGTGGAGGTGCCTTGAGCTGTCCCCGGTCATCGATTAGGCCCCGTCTCATGGTGACACGGCTCAGACTGTGCTTATCAGGTCATCAATAGCCCCATCACCCCGGTCGCATGGGGCAGCCCCAGTGCATGCGGCTCCTTCGCCAGCACCCAGCACTGTGGCCTTGCCAGTTCACCCTGCCCTGGGATGGGACTAGCATCTCCCCCACACGGGTGGATGCGCATCCCTGTGGTTGAGGATGCTGAGCCCATGCTGGGACCTGGTGAACACCGGCACTGGGCAGTGCCAGGAGGCTGCTGAGCCAGAGCAGGGCTGAGCATCCCGGTCCTGGGGACCTACCCAGGGGCCTGGGATTTGCTGCTGCTCTGTCTACATTGGCATCATCTTCCTGGCTGAAACGCCATTGTCCCTTCACCTAGCAAGGTGAGGGGCAGGGAAACTGAGGCACAGATGCAACATTTCTGCAGCAAGGCTGCAAAACAGTCAGTGGTGTGCGGGCAGCCCACGCCAGCCCCCGGGCACAGGGAGAGCCCAGCACTGCCAGCACAGAAGGTGTGCTGGGGGGTCCTGTCCGTGGTGCAGGGAGAGCCTCTCATTGCTGACTGAGTGGGCAGGTGAGGCCAGGGGTGATGCCGGGTCTTGGTGCAGGCATTGACCCCCTCTGCCCACATGTGCCGGCAGCTCTAACCCCTCTCTCTCCCACCCCCAGCTCTATGAACTGGATGAGGACCCGAAACGCAAGGAGTTCCTGGATGACCTCTTCGGCTTCATGCAGAAGAGAGGTAAAGGTGGGTGGCTGGGGTGGGCACCGCTGGCACCCTTGCCCTGGCTGCCCGGGGGGGCTGACAGTGGGGCCACTTGGGCACTGAACTGCTGCAGGTCTCTGTGAGCCCCCCAGGCAGGTCCTGCAGGGTGTCCCCCCTCTATGTCCTTATGGGTGCTTTCAAATGCGCACACCATATCCCGCACACATGCGCACACTTGGGTCAGTGTGCATGCACACATGCACACACTCACACAAACTCACACCCTGCAGATTTGCCCCCAATGGCCCAGGTGGACCCCCCCATGGGGTGCCTGCTGGCTGGAGGGGCTCCCCTGGGCCCCCCGAGACAGGTCTGGTGGCAATGCCCACTGCTGATGTCTGTTAGGGATGCCTGTTAGCTATGCCCATTAGTGATGCCCAGCAGG